ACATTCTATACTGATGCAAATAAATCAGGAAAGGCAGGTTACAGATCATAAGATTTAAGTAAGGTGAAACAAAGTCCTTATAATTCTGTCCAAAAGGCAGAGTTATATGCTATTCTCAGGTACTTAGGAAATTTAAAGAACCTCTTAATATAGTTACTGATTCACAATATGTAGAAAGAGTTGTCTTGCATTGAAACTGCTGAATTTATACCAGGTGATACAGAACTGACTTCATTATTTATACAGGTTCAAGATATAATTGGGAATAAGCTTTGTCCTATATCCATAACACACATCCAATACCATATATCTGCCAGATCCTCTAGCACAAAGTATTGTAGAAATTGATTATTGATTGAAAATGTATTGAAGGTCTCAGAATTTCATACAAAACATCATGTCAATAGCAAAGTTTTAAAGAAAGAGTTTTCTATTACATGACAATAAGCTGGGGAGATTATAAAGAAATGTCCTACTTCCTCTTTCTATAAGCAAACACCACTACCTGCAGGGAGTAACTCAAAGAGTATTCAAAGGAATAAAATCTGGCAGATGGATGTGTTCCATTTTGCAGATTTTGGAAAATTCAAATATGTACACCACACCATTGACACTTTTTCAGGTTTTCAATGGCCAACTGCTTTGAGCTCAGAAAAGGCTGATTCAATAATCACACATTTATTAGAAGTATGGCCATCATGGGTATACCTGCATAAATAAAGACAGATAATGGTCCAGCATTTGTCTCTAAGAAAATAAATTGTTTTTTTTGCTTATTGTAATATAAAGCATATTATAGATATACCAAACAATCCTATAGGTCAGGCAGTTATAGAAAGATCAAGTCAAAGTATAAAGGATATGTTAAACAAATGGAAAGTGATGGAAAATACCTCTGGAAATAGATTACACAATGCTTTATTAATCTTGAATTTTCTTAATGCTAATGAGAAAGGAACAATATCAGCAGAGACATTGGATAATAGAAAAATCTTCTGAATTACATCAGCTGGTGTGTTTCAAGGATGTATTTGACCTTACAATGAAAACCAGGAGATGTGCTACATTGAGGAAGGGGTTTTGCTCTTGTTTCCACAGAAGAAGAAAAGTTATGGATACCATCAAAATTAATAAAGATTCATTTTGAAAAAGAGAAATCTCTTGAGAAAGAGAAATGACAGCTCATCCACAAGAACCGACAACCATATACATGCTAAGGAAACCTCATAAGTGTTGGGGCAGGGTTCTGTTCTTGTCTTTGCAGGAAAATACTCATCTTCAAAAAGTCAAGAGACCCTGGACATCTATATGTCTACAGAGGAAAAGATAATTATCTAGATAGGATCACCAAGCAAAGAGAATCATGACTTATGAGGACAGGTTATCTGAGGATAAACTAGAACATAAACTACAATAATAGTCATAACTCACTTAAAAATTGAAACTGACTTTGGAGTTGGACAATGGCTCTGTCCTTCTCTAAATCCAAGCATGTTGTTAAAAAAATTCAGAGTTTCTGTCTCATGTCAGGAGCCATCTGGTATGTGACAGAAAGAAGAGAGAATTTAGAAAAAAATTTTTACTTTTCTTCATACTTATTTTTGTCTCTATTGTACCTTTAATTGAATATATGTCTGTATAAATAATGTTTAAGTTTTCCACAATGAATAATAAATTTTCCTGCAGTAATCTTTGAAGTTTCCAAGAAGAAGATAGGACCCCACAACAACAACTCAACCTGGTTTATATGACATCATGATGCTGGTAGTGCTACTTTAAGACCTGATTTGGGTATCAGCTGCTCTAGATGGTTCCAACTTGGTTAGCTGAAATGGTGTACCTTTTAACAACTTCTGGCAAGAACTCTAAATAGGAACCTCAGAAAAACCCTACTGAACACCCAGAGACTATTTGCAATTATATCAGTAATCTTGAAACTTAACCATTATTTTACTTTCACAGGATTCCCTAGTAAGAACATCACCCCCATGACATCTGGAAGTAATTCTAGAAGATGACATCTCTTCTCCCAACAAAATTTGTCCTCAGGGTTAGGGACATCAATTAGGGGTTGATTATAATTGGTATAGGGTTAGGGGTTGGAGGGAATTATGTAACTCAGGGATCTCTTTGAAAAAAAAGGGAAATTGGATGAGATAATAGATTATTGTGAGCTTACACTAATAATAATAGTGAGCAATAGCGTGAATACTTGTGGGCTATTATTTATAGGCAATTTACATTGGTATAGATTCCTGTATATTGATACAAACTTAAATTATATTGAATATGTTCCTATTTTTGTCTACAATATTTGTATACCTAGGCAAAGTTATTTTGTCATATTGTATGCATGCATGCTTCTACCTCTGCTTAAGACATTTTGTATATTGATACATTTTGAGGTCATTGTCCTTATTTGTTGCACAGTTGTTTAAAGATTGCTTAATATTCTAATATAAAATATTAGTCTTTAAGTTATATAGGTATTAAGAATTATAGGTCAATAGTCATCCGTGTTTGTCATACTTATAGTTAGACTAATCAGGTTCTTTAGATACATAGAGATTGTATTCTGCATAGATAGGTAATCTTCAACTACTTTAAAGAGCTATAGAATATGCATTTAAATATCTTAGAGTTCTGTTGATGTGAGACACAATTGCTTATGGTAGCACCGATCTATTCCTGAGAAAATGTTGAACACTGAAGACACTCCACTTGGAGCTTCTTTTCTTCTTGGTAAAACTGGCCTTTGGGCAAGGAACTGCCCATGCATCGACCACTGACAAAATGCATGTATCCTGACAGAACAAGCAGGATACATGGTGTAGGAGGTTTTTCTGTTTATGTGTTGCTTTCCTTGGTTGAATAAAGAAACTGCCTTGGCCTTTTGATAGGACAGTACATAGGTAGGTGGAGAGAGATAATAGGCCAGGCAGTGATTTAATTAATACAATTTCTGTGTGATTATTTTGGGTGTAAGCTAGCTGGGATAACAAGCAGTCTGTAACAGATACAAGAAAAAAAGACTGTCAAATCCTGCCAAGGCAGGGTAAGATGGTTCTGAAAAATTTCCTGCCTCTGAAAATGATCTGTCGGTTACTGTAGGTTTTAACCAAAGTTGGTTGCTCCAGTGTTGCAAATGAGAGTTTGGGTGATTGCCCAGGTAGCCAGTTGTCTCTGTCATTTGTTGTACATTTTGGAAGTTGCTTGATTGCACTTCCTGCTTAATCAAATAATATTATTTCCCTTCTGTGGTCTTTGATGGGGTTGAAGACTTTCCTCTCATGACTTGGTCAAATTATTTATAATATAATACTTAGACTCCTTAGGATAGGATAATTATTGAAACATTTATCACGTTTCTTGCTTGATATTGTTTATACTGTTTGTAATTTTAATTTTATACTTGATATTTGTTCTTATTGTATATAATTTTGTATTATGCTTAGCACTCTCTTATTTAAACAAAAGGGGGATGTGCTGTAGGAACTTAATAGGGACTTAAAAACTAAATGTAGTTCTATGGCTAACTCAGTGGCCTGTCAGTTCCCTAAGGTGAACACACAAATGGTTCATCTTAGGTACAATTTTAAGCAGTGTATTGCTGTGGGACAATGGTCTCGTGCCCTGTAAAGATTTGTTACTTGTATTGGTTTAATAAAGTGCTGATTGTCCAGTAGCCAGGCAGGAAGTATAGCTGAGGGCGACCAGAATAGTAGAATTCTATGAAGAGGAAAGTTGCAGTCATCACCCAGATGCAGAAGATGCAGGATGAAAATGCCTAGCTGATAAAAGGTACCAAGCCATGTGGCTAACACAGACAAAAATTATAGGTTAATGTAAGATGTAAGAGTTAATTATTAAGAAGCCTGAGCTAATAGGCCAATTCTAATTATAATTAATGTAGACCACTCTGTGGTTCTTTGGGACTGAACAGTTCTGGGACCTGGCAGGACAGAAATCTCTGTCAACAGTGTATGGGTGTTATGCTAAGGAATTTAGATAAAGTAGTAAATTTACTCCTCACTGAGAATGTTTGAAGTATGATGTCAGGATTCTTATTATAAAGATGAGAAAATGGAAGTCTAGACATGGTTTAGAATGCATCAGGAGGCACAATGAGTAAAGGAAGTGTATTGAAATTTTATCCTTGGCATGCTGCCTCCCAAGTAGACTATATAAAAGTCTTTGGTCCTGCGGCTCACAGTAACCAGAAAGCATCCATATCTGCAATTTTGATCTGCAAGCTTTTCCTATCTCTTCCCAGGTAATCTTTAACCTCTTTCTTGAACTTCAAATGTCATTTAAATTTCCAATTTGATAGGAGCTAACGATCTTGTATTTGTACTATACTGACCCTTTTAGTGTTCTCTCTATCCCAACAAGAAAGTAATATTCACAAGACACAGGCTTGGTTTTTCTTTTGCTTAGAGCAAGGCAATCAACACCTCTCCTGTCTTCATGATATTGGTAATTGTCTTAGTTAGGGTTTCAATTGCTGAGACAAAACACCATGACCAAAAAGCAAGTTGAGGAGCAAAGGGTTTGCTTGACTTACACTTCCAGATCAGAGTTCATCATTGGTGGAAGCCAGAATGGGAGTTCAAGGAGGCCTGGAATCTGAAGGCAGGAGCTGATACAGAGGGCATGGAGGGGAGATGCTTACTGCTTTCTGTCTTCTGGCATGTGCAGCCTGTTTTCTTATAGAACCCAGGATCATCCTTCCAGGGATGGTATCACCACCATGGGCTTGGCCCTCCCCCATTGATCACTAATAGAGAAAAATGCCTCACAGCTGTATCTCATGCATTTCTTCAACCAAGGCTCCTTCTCTGATGACTCTAGCTTGTGTCAAGTTGACACATAAAACCAGCCAGTACATGAACCAATGAAATGTTAACAGCACCATTTCCCTTGGTGGTGTCATATTATTGACTGGAATGTTCCTAGACTTCTCTTACTTTCTTACTACTGTGAAGAGACACCATGACAAAGACAACTTATAGAAGAGTTTATTGGGGGGTTTGCTTACAGTTCCAGAGGGTTGAGTCTATGACCATCATGGCAGAATACAGCAACAGATAGGCAGATATAGTGCTGGAACAGAGGCTGAGACCTTACATCTGACCCATAAGCAGGAGGCAGAGAGAGCAAGAGAATGGAAAGGCCTGGGCTTTTAAAACCTCAAAGCCCAGTGACATACCTCCTAACTCTTCCTAAGCAGTTCCATCAGCTGTGGATCAAGCATTCACATGTATGTGTCTATGGTGGTCATTCTTACGTGTACCATCAGTTTTTTCTTGGTGTGTGGTATATGTAGTGTTCTGTAGATGTGTATGGACATGCATGTAATGACCAGAGGTAACACTAGGTGTCACCCTCTACGGCTTATTATCGTCATTTGCAACAGCATCTTTCACTAAACATGGAGCACACCAATTCAGTGAGGCTGGCTGGTCCGTTCAGAGTTAATCCTGGCCTCATGTCCCCAGAACTGGAATCATCAACATGAGCCACTGCATCTGATCTGAACCCAGGTCCTCATGACTGTGTGGCAAACACTTGACTATCTTCCCAGGCCTTGAAATAGCCCTAGTTGTAAAGATTGCTTATTCTGTCAGGTGCATTTTTACTTTGCCAATCATTTGTGGAGTTTTCATTTTTTCACTTGTGAAGTTTTAATTTTTGAATTAAAAAAAAAGACCACAGATGTATTACCCATTTAAAAAAATAAGTTAGGGGTTGGAGAGATAGCTCAGTCATTAAAGGGCTGGGCTCACAAACATAAAGAAAAGACCCTTCAATTAGGAAATATTGGTACATGTTTATTGTCTTCTAATGGTAGTGTGACAGATCTACATTAATATGTTTTGGTTAACAGAATCAGTTTGCTCAGTTGATTTGATATCATTCTAATGAAAACAGAGTGAGACCTGACCATGTGTAGTATGTCCTTCTGGCCCTGTTTGCCAGTCTCTGTTAATCTGCAAGCCATTCACAAACATCACCACTCCAAACACACTGGCAACACATTCAAAGGTGGAGGGGACACTGTATTATTTAGTTGACGGTTTGAAACATCTTACTAGAGGTTCTCTGGGGCGGTGGGTGGGGTGGGGAGAATAGTGAATTAAAAAAAAACACTATTGAATTAATTTCTTGTTTTAAGACATACAGAAAACAGAAGTAGAAATAGAATTTTGAACTTCTTTTGTTTACCTTCTTGGGGGTGTAGAGGCATTGCTTGATTCACAGAGAAACAGACATTTGGTTACAAGAACACAGGGGAAGTCTGTATGAATCAAAGACTGTTTTACCCTTGTCCACTCTAGGCTATAAAATAGCATCAATATACTTTTTTTTTTTAAAATAAATTAGGCAACTAACAGAATTCTTGGATTTTTTAAGGAAACTCAAAATCACTTGTTTAAGAAAATGGAAATCTGTCTTGAGTTTTTAAGAATTTCTCTAGTTTTGGTCTCTGGAAAGCTGGAGGTCAGATGTGAACGGAATTGTGGAAGTATGAACTCTTGTTATACAGATGGCATCTATTCAGCACCCAGAAACTGTAGCCCTGGTTTCTGTAGCTCGCATGATCCAGCTGACATAAGGCTTCCCATTTCCGTGCTCTGAACTGTTATACACACAGCAAGCACTCTAGTCAAGAATTATGTGTCTCCCTCCACCCTGACAACCCCCAGGTTTACTGCATTTAGGATACTGCCTAGTGAGAGCAGGTGCTTTCCTGAGTTTTTGTTTCCAGACTCTTCTACCCTCCATTTATTTAACACAATTAATTTATAATCACATGGCACCTCCCTTTAAAACACCCAGGAAGTAAGGGTTAGCAAGGTTTCAAGGACCAAAAATAGCCTTACCTCCCACATCTTTCCATCATGGTTAAGTTGTGCATCCCAGATGTTCAGAAGACCCAGCGTGCAGCGTCAAGGGGCAAAGCTACTCATTACAGACAGAACTTTAGGACGAGCGGTCAGTCTCACAGACACTGCTTTATTTGTAATTGCTTAAAAGTTATAAAAGGAAAAAAGAACTACAGTAGCAGTCAAATGAGCTACAGGGGCAAGGAGTCCATGTTGTCGAAAACTATGGGGATTTTAACTCCCTTACTCCTTGGCTTCTGCAGAGGCTCCTCAGCTCTTCCAGCAGGTGTCACTACCACCACAGAACAAACATTCGACAGCACGGTCTGTAACTTTATTTTTTTCTAGCATAATAATTTAAAGTATTTACACACTGCACACTCACTGTTTTTACAGATACTCATACGCCTACAAACCACGTCTACAGGTTTCTCTGGAAAGACTCGGCACAATGTGGGAAGTTTCCAAGCACAGTGAAGGGGGAAAAGGTGTTTTTTGAGTCTTCTCTAAAGTAGCCACATGGCTCTGTGAAAAACCAGTGCTGTAGCCCATTAAGCTCTCCCAGGAGATCTGTGGCAAGCTGTAGCCTATTCATATGCTGGCATGGTCTGTAGCCTATTCGTATGCTGGCATGGTCTGAAATTCTTTTGGCTAAGGACTTCACGAAGCAAGTGCAAGCAGTGTGTTCTTAGAAACCCCAAAGAAAACCTGGCCCTTCTCGACAGAAATACTTTACTTTTAAAAGTTATCTGTGGGGACTGTCAAGGTCATATAGACACTTATTATTAGGGAGAACAACGCACCAGACTCTATTACTAATACTACTGTTGTAGTACATCTCACGGGCACCCTTTCCCGCTAAGCAAACTTCCATTCCCAAACTATGAGTAGAGGTGGTGGTCTTGTTCTCCTCGCAAAAGGATAAGGGTATATCTATCAATCACACTCTAAAGCCAGACACTGTAGAAACTTCTATTTTTTTTCCTTTATACTATTTGCACAAAAATAGTGGTTAAAAGTAGCTGACATCTCTCCTTCCTTGTTCTACTCAATTACAAGTTACTAGCTAGTGATGGATTCTGGTTAATGACTCGACAGATGAACAAAAGTGGCCATGCTTTCAGGGTTGGAAGGTCCTAATCTAGCTTTCTTAAAAAGACCCCCCCCCCCTTTTTTAAACAGGGTTAGATTCCAGCTCTCTGGAGTTCAGCTTTTAAGGATGCCTTCATAATTTCACCCAAGGTAAGGGTTTGCCGCTTCTAGATAAACACACAATCCCACTCTGTGACGATTATCACTTCTCTAGGAAATACAACTTTACAACGTGATACCCTTTCCTAATGCCAGCCTGAGCGTGTCAACAGGACATGGCAAAAGGTATCACCATGGCCTAAATCACTCCAGTATTTAAAGTTCGTATCTTTTGCTTGCATTAATGTAAACCTTAAATATTGGAACACAAATTGTATTACTTCTTGGAACCAAACACTCACATTTAGATATAATAATACAAACCTATCTATTCAGGAGTTAACTCTGCTACTCTCACAGCCCTTAACAGTTGGTACCAACAATGGGGTGGCAGAGGCAAGGAGAGACTTTACCATATGGGGATTTCACTAAGTGACTACAGGTGTTACGATGGCAGAGCTGAAAAGACAGAGGCTACTTGGGCAGTACAATGCCTAGTTAACAAACATCAGACTCACCAGCATCCACAGGCAAGTGGAAGATTTCCTGTTCTCAAGGCCCTACACTTGGACCTTATATCAGAGGAAGACTAACAGCCAGAGTTTAGAATCCTGAAGTGTGGTGAAGGAGACATTGGGGTGGAGCAGGAGAGCACCATTAGGATTTCAAGTAGCCAGGGAGGAGGGAGTTAAGAACATGATTTCTACAAGCTGCAGAGAGGGAGAGCAAGGCATGAAATCTACTAAGTTATGATTCGGTTTTCCTTAAAGAGTTAAAGGAGGGGAAATTACGATTTAAACAGGGATGGGGGCTAGATCGGGCGTAGCAAGATGCCTGGGATCTACTTGAAACAGCCATCCCCAGAACCGTGCTTCACTAACGGCAGTTTTAGAAGGGTCAACCTCAGAGGCCACATGTGCTCAAATGTCATAATCAGAGTAAGAAGGACTGCAGCTGTAGCAATACTGTCCCCATGTTCTGAGAAAGTGAGCTGCTAGAAACAGGGCTCTTAAGTGAGATCCGTGTTTTAAGAATCAAAAGTACTTACTTTCCTCTCAAATTGACACTTCAGGAAGGGAGACAGCTCCATCAGGAACTGTGTACCTTGGCAAATCAGTAGCAATGGGAAGTGCAGGAGGAACACCCAGAGTAGCTACAAACTGGTCACCTTCAAATGGACTGTTGTGGTGTCTGTGTATATGTACTGTACATATTAGCCAGGTACACACATAAATATTTAATATATAAAAAATAAAGTGCTTTCTAAGAGGTCCCTACGCAGGGACATTATAAAACATTTCACAAAACTGCAAAATAAAATTGATACAATCAAAAAAACACTACAACCAACATATGTGAAAACAGCCAAACACATAATGTACAATCTGGTGTTCCAGGACAAACATCTGTCATATACATGGTATATACATATATATACTCTTTCACTCAATATATTATGACAATATATATTTAAAATTTTGTTATAGACAAAAAAAACCAGAAAAAACAAAACAAACCAAAACAAAAAACAAACAACCCCTACAAAAACACAATAAGGACCAGGCATGTGAGTCCAAGACCAACAGACAAATCAGAGCGTCCTGCGCGGCTGCTGCTGGGGAAGATGTGCCAGCGTTCCTTCCTGGGGTGCAGGGCTTCCACGTCCGCCAAGGCACTGTGGGCTGCAGCAGTAAAGTTGGCATCACCAGTGGTGAGCAGGTCAAAGACACAAGACTGGAAGTAGATGTCCTTCACCGGCATCTTCTCATGGCATTGGGTGCTGGCAGTCTCCAGTGTGTAGCCAGGCCAGGCCTGTGCTGAGGTGGTGTGTGGCAAGCTGTGCCCCAGGATAGCAGACACCTGGCCTTGTCCATCATCAATGCATTCACTCGTGGGGCAGCCGTTCACACACAGCTGCAGGTCCTGGCTTTCCTCATAGGACATGGCCAAGTCTTCGGGCATTCGGATGGCAAGGGTTAGGTAGCGACCCAGCTGCCTTACAAACACTGTGGTGCCTATGTAGCGGGCATGCATCTCTACGTAACGGCCACTCTCCCTCTCCACGATGTGAAGGCTCTTGATATCACCATCCCCGCCACTGGTGGTGCCGTCCACAAAGGCCGCTGGCAGGTCATCTGTCACAGCTTGGTACACTTTCTGATCCGTACACTCGTGGTGTGCTTTGAAGATGATAGTGATCTGTGGAATGGAGGGCGGACAGGTTAACACGACTGAGGGGGAGGGGGAGCTGAACAGTGCACTCCACAGTAGCAGGGAGCTCTCCAAAGTTGTCACTTACCTTTCCCGACACAGAGAGCACCCCTGTTGGGAAACAGTCCACTTTTGTTGATAATTTTTATTTATCTCCCATATCAGGCATAGTGTAGCTGGGGTGGGGGCTGGGAGTTCCTTCTTAAGCAATACAGAAGCTCTGAGGGACTTCATTACCGATATATCCAAGTCTTACCGCTAAAGAGATCCTTCATTGGACCATGATGAGTTCCCAGGACTCACCACTATAAATTGAATATAAACACTGAGAGATGAAACAGGCTCAGGGGCTGGGGGGCATCTGCAACAACTACCAATCATGTGCCTCGTGAGAAATTTCTTTTAAGACTCTTAATCAAATGCTTTGCATCACTGGTTAATCCCTGCGACAGGGAATTACTGGCAAGCACAGCTCTCAAGCACTGGCAGAGATAACATGCCCCAGACCTAGTAACGAAGATGTTTTCCCAAACAGCACCAGGGGCCTCGGACTCCACATCTTTTCTCAGTCAGCTCTCAATTTTCCAAAGGAAGCAAACAGTTCAGGGAGAAAAAAAAATGCACTGATAATACATCAAACCTTCCTTCTGTCGGGCCATTTCCTTCCCTGCAGAATCCTTCCTCTGTAACAGTTATAAACACAACTGAAGAAGTAAGCCTGCTGCCATTTCTGCAGCCGACATGCGAAGAGGCTGAGGGAGGGGCTGAGGGTCTCTGGCCCAAAGTAGGAGCAGTTCCCCAGAGCCATCTGAGGGAGCAGCTGAGATCTGGCTTATTGTCTGTCAGTCATGTAACAGGGTTTTTTTTTTTGTTGTTGTTGTTGTTGTTGTTTTTTTTTTTTTCAAATGAAAAAAAAGAATAAAGGTCTGGGTGATTTGGGTCCAGAGGGCAGAAGGACAAGCCACACACTCTGTAAGTCACTCTGATGGCAGCACCTCTAAGCTCATGCAAAAGAACTAGTCAAAACAATGGACCCTTGTTAAAAAGCCAGAAATGGCCCCCCAAACCTCACTACCACCCTCAAGCTTATGTCTGAAGTTTTTCCCCAACCCAGTCAGCATTTGCTCACACTATTTAATTCCACACGTTCCCACTGGTGTTAACTTGACTGGAATTTTCCAGCCATTTCATTTTACTTCAGCCAGTTACAAAGCCAGAGCTGAGCCAGCTGCACTGCAGCGAGCGACTGGTTAGGTTCATATCCGCTGTTTGCAGCTGCAGCTGAAAGCCAGACAAAGTGCTGTGAAAACCCTGGGCTTTCTCTCCTAATTACCCCCGAGCCACAATTTGATTTCACTACCAGCCCTTCTCACATTTCAACACCTTCTTAACAATCCAGAGAAGGTGACCAGAGAGAGATGACTTCAGGAGAACCAGGGAACCTTCCACTGTGAGGGGTTCTGAGGTGGGTGGGTATCTAAAAGAGACTATAAAACGGATTTATTTGGTGGCTCTAAAGTCAGTTTGACAAGTCCTCCCTTAAGACATGATGGGATTGCTAGGACGTGGAAAGATTAATTCAAGTAAATTCTGCCCTGAAAACACAGGAGGAAGGTTAGAAAACACCAAGGGCCAACAATGCGGATGGCTAAAGTAAGTGTCAGTAAGACCTTTTCATAGTCGTCATCCTTGTAAAACAGAAGATTTAACAGCCCAGTCATGTGTCTTTCTAGTCTAACAAACTTCAAGTTTAACTAACTTGGCATTGCATGCAGTAACTGTGAACATTTTGTTTGCATTAGGAAGAGTGAAAAGAATTCACTTTTGTTGGGGCAACAAAGCAGAGATGTCCAACTGCAAACAAGTTACCAAAAAAGACACACGGGGATCAATATTAAGATGAGTGGAATAATTTCACCTTTAATCTGCTTTTTGTTTTTTGTTTGCTTGTTTTTTTGCATTGAACAATGCAGGACTCACTCTAACATCTTACACACTCTGCTATTCCGGACACACTTACACACTCTGCTATGCAGGACACACTTACACACCTTACACACTCTGCTGTGCAGGACACATGGGGAACTGGCGTCCTCAAGGATCTGCACCCGTTAAATATTCTCCTCTACTTTACAGATTTTTGTTTACTCATTGTTTGAAGTTGACTTCCTCTCTGATAAAACTGTAGTATTTCTTTCTTGGGGATGTGTGTAGAACGATCTGCTGAATCCACACGCGGAGAAGATGAGACAATCTCAAAGCACGGGTAAGGGTTCCTGAGAGGGCCTTGTATGTAAGCGTACAGAGCAGGGACCTAGATGTAGAAAACTCTGGGTAACAGTTGCACATGACTTGAGTTTTGAAGTGCAATGTCATTCCTCAGGACAATTCCAACACAAGCTCTTGACAAGCGAGCAGTCAGCCATGAACAGCATGAAATTCATTTCAGATTGTCTACCTTTCCAGAAAAGCAAACTCATGCATCCATAATAATTCACACTTCAAAAATATACAAAATTTCATTGGAATTTTTTGTAAATTCCAAACTTTAAAAATTTCCATCTAGCAGCCATCAAGAGCCTAAAATGGACATTTAAATTTGTACAGCTGTTCTCACTATGCGCTGTAAACACCGGCTCTGCTGTATGTTTCCCCTCCACTAACTGATCCATACGCAGTAATAACTCAATTTGGCACATCTGTTCAATGCCACACCATTTATTATTGATGGGTGGCATTTTTGTGCATTTAAAACATCAATGCCTTTTGTTAAACCTCCCCCACCTAGTCTCTCTCAATCCCACCTTAGACAAACTACTCTAGCTCTCCTCATTAATTTTTAATCTCACTCCTGAGATCTTTACCACCCACAGGTCTATGAGGAAGAGAAAGTTAGTCGTTACGACAAATCAACCTTTGCACATATGAACAGCAACAAGACCTTAAGATTTGTTGTAAAATTAAGAGCAGTGGTTCTCAACCTTCCCAACGCTGAAACCCTTTAGTAAATTATAGTTCCACATGTTGAGGTGACCCCCCCAACCATAAAATTATTTTGTTGTTACTTCATAATTGTAATTTTGTTACTGTTATGAATAATAATGTAAATATCTGTGTTTTCCATGGTCTTAGGCAACCCCTGCGAAAGGGTCATTTGACCACTGAAGGGGTCATGACCCACCAGCTGAGAACCACTCATTGATTAAGAGGCACTCCGCCTGCCTCTCCTTCCAACCAGCAAGAAAAGGAAATAAATGAAATTGAACAAGTCCATGAGGAAAACGCAGGCCCTGCCTCACCAGGATACAGAGAAAACTTCCCAAGGCACAACAGACTGTAAAACACCACACACGGGTTTTAGAACCCAACCCTCCAAAGACTTAGCAGTCGGCTCTCCGTATACACCCACACCATACTCTGTACATATTCTGGAAGGAACGTTTACCAGTGTTCAGTCAGACAGTTAGCACTGCAAGTGCAAAGAACTTTCTGGAATGAATCCTCAACAGGAGAACTGGACTTTCAGAGCTAATCATGGGGTTGGAAGCAAAGAAATGGGCTTCGAAGGCAACTTGATTTGTATCTGGTTAAAATTCTGCCCATGTACAAGGAAGTGAAAATAAATGTTACTTCATATAATCAGTTGCTATGTGCATACTGTCAAACTGTCTAGGTGTAGTTATGATGAAAACACGGCAGACCCTCAAGGACACCACGACTAGGCTGAGAGCCTCTTTCATGTCTGCACATGTAGGTGGAAGACAACCTTGACACTCAGTCCTCCAGACAGAACAGCAAGACCATCCCAACAGCTCACGCTTCACCACACTGGCTGTCTCCACCCCTAACACCTCCAAATTCTACTCTGGATGGCCAATTTTTCTAGATGTTGAAAAGCTGGCTGAGGAAGCTCTGAAACACAGCTTACTTCACCTCCAGGGCCACCAGAGTGTGGACTGTAGCTGGGGCAGGCCTCCTCTGTGCAGGCAAAGAGGAAACTGATCTTCGGTTATATAAAAATAAGGGTAACTCTCTCCCTTTTGTGAAACTGGGAAAAAATTCACACACACTTAGATTAATGTCTGTCTGAACAATTTTATGCAAAGCCCAGACATGACTTTATATGTAGCATTCTACATGCTGGGCTGGGGTACACATCGTCACTAACGACTTCCCCCAAAGTGTTGGGGAGGTGATCTGTTAGGAAGCTGTAAACCCAATAAGCCGGGAAGCAATTGTACAACTACTATTCAGCTTAGATAGAATACTATACTCACAGAAAGTATAAGAACTTGCAGAAGTGCAAGGTGTTAACTGCTTTTATTGGACTAAAACAGTGCACTACAGTTAAGACAGCACACTAAAAAGGTGAGCAGTGTATCAAAAATCTTACCCTGGACTCCTTTTAGCGTTTAGATGACACTAAGAAATACACCGCCTTCTAAACAGTTATCAAAAGTATGCTTCTCTACTCCCAAGTCCTTTCCTACAGAGTTCTGTGTTCAGAGCACTTAACAGAATGCAGAGAATTGGAATGGCTCATGCTCAAGTCTTCAGTATTGCCCTAGGTAATGAACACAAGCAAGAACAGGGGCTGTTTTGGCTGCTGAAGGGGTACTTGGCAGCAGACAGAGAATTAAGAAGCCAAACCAGAGAGGAAGGACACCCACAGCTCAAGGCTGCTAGGGTGGTCCAGAGAAGCACCAGGCCCAAGGCTGGAAAAGCTCAGAGAATGAAAGCAGTCTGGCCCAGGGATAGCACACGAGAGGGACAGGCACAGAAACGCCAACTTTCAAAAACCAGTTTCTATATAATTAAAAAAAGGAAGGCGGGAAGCATACACAGGCACAGAGACGGGGAAGCCAGCCAACTTCCTTCTGCACCCCAGCGAGCACCATGCTGAGCATGAGGGGGCAAGCCCTTCAGCCTGTACACCTCAGCAACTTCCCAAACTTTAAACTTCGGGCTCAGAATCTGCACGTCTCCCT